ACTCTGTCAGTCCTTACACTGACTTCCTGTAACATTTAGAAGTAAATGCAAATGCAAATCTCTACATAATGCGTCTCCTAACTACCTATCCTCACTAATGCACAAGTGTGTCCTGTCTTGGCCCATACGCTCTGCCAAAGACCTGCGTCTATCCTCTGTTCCTACTTGCACCTCTAATGCCTACCTACATGACATCCCTACAGCTACCAGGAGATTGGCTGCATGACTGATCTAAGTAGACTAGGTTTCATTACACATGACACCGGTCCTGTTCCTGGAAGTTCAAGCATCTCTGAGAGCATAGAGCTAGGTATAAAAATGATTGTGGAGACACAAACATGTAAAAACTCCCCACAGGGCAAATACAAAAGTTACTGTTATGCACGACCTGCAAGATTGTGTTGAAATCAAACATGTTAGTTGTGGAAACATGATTTCTCGAGTTTCTATACCAAAGAATTCATTTGCATAGTCCAGCTTGAGATATGCAGGTAATGCCGAATAGTCATTTTTGTATTTTTACTGTCGGGAGTTTTATCGTGTTTGGTCTTACCATATGTACAGCCACAGTCGAACTAATAAATGGACATGAGGAAGTCTTTCCTCAGGTTATATTGCTATGATATATAAATATGTCCTGTCTAGAAAATTATTTGAACCACTATTGAACCTAAAACTTTTCCTTAACTGTTCTTGTATGTAGATTTTATATTAATCAGCACACTTACGCAAATTACAATATAAAAAAATAATAGTTTGCCTGTTACAACATTTTCTGTAATAACAGGAGGCTGCAAGAAGACATGCATTTCAGAGGAAACCTGCTGAGACGGACAGAACATTTGAAGTCAAAACAGGATTCTACTTTGAGTTTTCATCACATTAAAGTACATCTGGAAAGTCCTTGTTGTCAATTTGTTCAATCATTTGATAGCTATAAAGTTAATATATTTTGTGTGTATTCTTGAAAAACTAGTAAACTTCAATGAGAATAAAATGTATAAGGAATGCAAATCAGGTTCACGGACTTGAAAGACATCTGGATCAATAAAATTAAAAATAGATTTGTTCTGTGACTGTATTTACATTTTTATATTTCTTGAAATATTATATGTTATATAAAGTGCATTTGGATTCAAGCATTATTTTTTTGTGTTTCTTTATTATACATGTGGCTTTTGACAGCAGCAAAAAGGGTTATGATTTTTAAGACTAGAAACCCTTTTGTGATCAAGGTTTTTGTGAGATTCTGTGTTTTGTTACGACATTGTTTTTTAACATTTGCTGTGTATTCATTCCATTTTAATATACACTGAATAGCCACAACATTAAAACATCATGTAGGTTCCCCTGCCAAAACTGCTCTGATACCTTGAGGCATGGACTTCACAATTGAGCTCTGGAGAATTTGGAGGACAAATCAACACCTTGAACTATTTGACATGTTCCTAAAACCATTTATGAACAATATATGCAATGTGGCAGTGTGCACTATCCTGCTGAAAAAAACCACTGGCATAAGGGAACACTATTGCCATGAAGGGATGTGCGTGGTCTGCAGCAATCTCTAGGTCGGTAGTATGTGTTAAAGTAAAATCCACATGAATTCCAAGGTTTCAAAGCAGAACATTGCTCAGCGCATAGCCCTACCTCCACCAGACTGCCTTCTTCCAATAGTGCATCCTGCTACCATCTCTTCCCCAGGTAAACGGCACACATGCACCTGGCCATACACCTCATCTGAAAGAAAACATAATTCATCAGACCAGGCAACCTTCTTCCATTGCTCTATGGTCCAGTTCTGAGGCTTATGTCCCCAATCAAGGTGCTTTCGGCAGAAGACAGGGTTTATCATGGACCTCAACCAGTCTGCTGCTAAGCAGTCTCATGCAAAGCAGAATTTGAAGCACTGTGTGCTCTAACACCTTTCTATACACATTTCTGGTCAGTGTTAAGTTTTTCCGCAATTTGAGCGATAGTAGCTCAAACAGTAGCATATTGTTCGGTTCTAAATTTCATTCGAATTAATGAAATTCTGGTCCAATTCGTGCCGCAACTGCATCTTGCAACGGCTTAGTGGATGGCCCTCTAATACCATGGGAATTAGGGAGCTATCTACAAAAAGGCTGAAAGACCAAAATTTGTCTTTTAGACAACTTTACTAATACTAAGTAAAAATGACTTAGTATTAGTAAATAAGGTCATTTAACATCTCCATTCTGCCCCTACTCGCTATGCTGCGAGTAGGGGCATGGTGGCTCACTATAAGGGAAAATAAAAGACTTCCCTCCCACTCCAAAAAAAAAAAAAAAAATGCCCCATGGTGGGGTACCTATTTAAATAATGAATGTGCCCCGTACTAAACTAAATGGTCCCCCTCTGGCCACCACCCATAAATGGCAGATGGGGGCTCGAAGTAACAAAAGTAACTTATTGTCCTAAGTAGCACCTATTGACTCCCCCTTGGTCCCCTTCCATGAGTGGCGGGTTGGGTCCCACAGTGACATGAGAGGGGACCTGTTTCCCCTCCCCAGGTGACTAGGGCTACCCAAGCCTCAAGTCACAACCCCTGTCCCAATAAAATAAAACCCTAAAAATAGTGAGGGGGGAGCAATAAGCTCAATACTTGTAAATATATATTTAAAATCATACTTACCACAATATGTCTTCTTTTTACTGCCCCAAAAAAAGCCAAATAAAATTACATAATTCCCATCGCACTTATAAAAAAAAAAAAAAAAAAACATGAGTGCAAAAAAAAAAAAAAAAAAAAAGGGAAAAAAAGAAAGAAATCCAAATGCAAAAAAAAACCATCTTACCCGAACAAGGGCACCGCGCCGACTTATACAGCCTTCCCAAACCGTGGAATGCAATGCAGCCACGGCACAAATCGGAACGTAATTTCATTCATTCAAATTAAATTTCGAACCAAACAAAATGTACAAATTTTGTCCTAACACAAATGGAGAAACTGTACTCATTCTGTTAGGACAAAATTCGGTACTTTCACCTGAGTCCTGTCTATATGACAGGACGTTCAAATGAAGCAACGCGAGATCATGGAGGAAGGTGAGTATTGTGGGAAAATGTATTTGACCACAGGAAATGGATACTTAAAGGACCACTATAGGCACCCAGACCACTTCAGCTCAATGAAGTGGTCTGGGTGCCAGGTCCATCTAGGGTTAACCCTGCCTGCTGTAAACATAGCAGTTTCAAAGAAACTGCTATGTTTACATATGGCTAAATCCAGCCATTAGTTGCTGTCTCACTGAAAGCAGATATGTATTTTTCCAGCCACATGTACACAGCCCCACAGTTAGGTGCACACTGTTAAACAAATACACTGTCAAATACAGTACTAGACACTTAGTTACAGGCAGACCATCACTAGACATGTGCAATTAGTTTAGTTCCAAATGTACATTCAAACTGTGAATTTTGGATGCTTACGAATGTCCGAAGTGCCAAAGTTTGGTAGTTCGGAAGTGCCGAACCAAAGTTCCGAATTGTTGAAGTTCCGAAGTGCTTTGGATTTCTGAAAAGTGGCAAAACAAGAGAGGCATGTAAAATTACGTAAATGATGACAGGAATCTTGACCAATAAGCTAATTCCTGGCACTGGAAGTCCTATAGATGTGTAAGTGGTTGTGGTGGCAATCCTGGCGCTGAGAGCCCTACAGATGTGTAAGTGGTTAGGGTTGCCCAGAATTGTCAACCACTGTCTAGATATGTGCAATTTGTTTCATGCAATTGCGACATTCACACTTACGAATGTCAGAATTGCCGGAGTTCTGAATTGCCGGAGTTTGGAAGTGCCGAACTGAATGCCATTGGTCTGAATTGCCGAAGCCGACAATTTTTTTTTTTTTAAACTTACCCGAATTTCCGAATCAAATTTTTTGCCCATGCACATCCCTAACCATCACACATACAAAGTTACAAGCAAACAGTCACACACACAGGTACAGACAGACAGTCGTACACACACAGACACAGGCAATGTCCCACACAAACATAGGCAGGCAACCATAGACATTTACAGGAAGACAGTCTCACACACACACACACACACACACACACAGGTACAGGCAGTCAGTCATACACATACAGGTAGTTACCTCTTTCCATTACAGGCTAATGGGGGGAGGAAGTGGAGGCACTCTGATCCTTGGTGCCTATCTGTTGGGGAAGCAGGGACTCCTTCCAGTGTCACCCTCAGAGTGTCGCAGTAACCAGGCAGTGGGTTCAAGCTGCATTTAGTTCTGCCCCAGAACCCATATGGCTCTGCCCCGCTTCCCTTACATATGGATGGCTTTTGAAGCTCTGCCACTGCGTCGCAGGCCTGCACAAGAAGGAGAACAAAATAGTGAGTATTCTCCTTCTCATGCAGATGTTACAGTGCACTACCAATGAAATTCTCTGTGACCAGCCTCAGCGACCACCACACAGCAGCAGCAAATGCAGACCAGCCACTATGTGCGCGAGCTATGTCTGTCATTTGGTGTCCCTAGTGACATGGCACCCGCACAATTCTACAGAATTCTATAGATCTTCTATTTCCTACTATTTTAATGATCCCAGAATTAAATTTTGCTGCATCCTCATTACAGCAACAACTCATATGCATCCCCTTTTCCAGGTTTTTTTAGAGGTTAATAGGGCCACACAACAGACATGCCCTAATTTACATATGTCTCTCTGCTTGCTTTCTAGAGATGCCATTTGTCAATCCCCCAAAATGGACTAACCATAACCCTTGCTTGCCTTAAAACTATAACCCTTGTAACCCCAACAATACACTGTTTAGTATACAGATCCCCAGGCTGAGCCACAGAGTTGGAAATTTGTACAAACCTTTAAGACTTATTGTGAAGCTTATTGATTCTATTTCTGCTTATTCACAAATGGAGCGACGCTGGATATTCAACAGATGTACAACATCACTTTACGAATATATTTTATTCACAATTTATTTTTTTCAAATCAGATTAAATTTTCTTTTTTTGTGATTAGTAGAAAAGAAGGCAGGCATTTTGGATTACTTGCAACAACAACAAATATATTTTGCTACTGAGGTGAGAGCAAAGATTGATAAAACTCCCTTCAGAAACAAATACAATCCATCAAAACTTTTTTTTTTTTTTAAACATCTAATTTTGTTACATATTTGAAATAGAAAGTTCCTTTTATACCCCATAGAGAAATATGCATGCATGGTATCATTGTGAATACACTTAAAGTAATCTAAATAATGAAGTCTCTAGCATGACGTTATGAAAAGCACAATTGTAACTATTTACATTATATTTAAAACTTGTATGAATTTCCCTTTTTTTAGTTTAAACTAGATATAGAAATGTAAAGTGAAAGGAGAATTTACTGGGGGGAAAAAACAAATAAATAAATAACGCACAGTCTCTTATCACTACAGCTTTTATATGCCATATAGAAACGAATATTTAATTATGAGGATAAAAGGTTTGAGGACAAAGAATAGAAAGTACAAGATGTCTAACAGAATTGATGTCAGACGAACTGCAAAAGGACAAAATTGCCTCTCGAAGCCTAGATGCCATAAATGAACTGATATACCATAATGGAAAACAAAATATAGTTGTGAGAACAATATTTGTCTAAAAAGTTTAATAAGAATTTATGAAAAAACTTAAAAAACTAGAAATGTGATACATAAAATCATGTCTCGAGTCAAATTGTTATATGTCAATTTGGAATTCCCAGAATTTTTAATAAATTCATGTGTAATGCTTTGGATGGGCTAAATTACATTTTTTTATTATGTCTTGGCCACTTAAGTAAGTTGAAGTAGTTATGGTGCCGCAGTCTATATGTCATAGGCGTGCGCACGGGGTGTGCCGGGTGTGCCTGGGCACACCCTAATCCCCTCGGCACGCCTATGGAGTGAGACCGGCAGGGGAGATCTCAGGATCTTCCCTGTTGGCTCATGCAGAGCTGGCGCTCCCCGAGCGCCGGCTCTGCTCTCAGCATCCCTCCCCACCGACCCACATGCAGGGAGGGAGACAGGAGAGGACCTGGGGAGCTGTTGCCGGCAGCTCCGCCGGGCTCCTCTTGCGAGATCTGAGCGTTGCCGCAGGCTAGAGTTCACTCTCCACTGGACCAACAGGGATGGCAGAAAGGATCCCCCCTCCCTACATAAAGTAAGACGGGAGGGGGGATATTAAGTAATGTACCCACACATACACAGCACCTGCACACATACAGCACCCACAGACATACACAGCACCCACACACACACACACAGCACCCTCACAAACACACACAGCACCCTTACACACAGCACACAAACAGAACCCTCACACACACACAGCACACTAACAGTACCCTCACAAACACAAACAGGACCCTAACACACACACAGCACACTACCAGTACATTAACAGCACACACACACACACAAACAGCACCCTCACACACAGTACATTAACAGCACCCTCACAAGCGCGCACACACAAACACCCTCACCCACATAGCACACTACCAGTATCCTCACACTAACAGCACACACACAGCAGTATGTGTGTGTGTATATATATATACATACACACACACACACACACATACATATATACATACATACATACATACATATACGCGGCGTGTGCTTGTGCTTTAGGGTGCACACCCTAATGCAATAGGCTGCGCACGCCTTTGCTGTATGTGTAGTGTTCTGTTATGAAATACTGCACATACAGAGTTTAACCCATGGATGCGCCCAGGTGGACACAGGAAAGAGCGCAAACCTTTGGATAAACATTTTTGCCCATTACTTGGAAATAGGGTCAGAGTACTCCTCACATCATAACCTGCACAGGCTGTTGTAGTTATGATGCTTCGAATAACTAATTTTTCCAAAGATAAAAAAAAATCCAAACAGAGATCAATGTATAACATAATCAACAATGCTGGATAAGTATGTAATATTCAAATGATGTGGCATAAATAGACAAACAGACAATCAGGTAGGTGGCACAGTCATTGTACATATGTATTCCATGGCAATTAAAAAGGAGGTAGCTGATCATAAGCACTTTTTTATAACATGATTATAATTTGATACAAAAGAATAAATAACCAAAAAAAAATATGTTTAACAGCGGTAAAACAATAGAATTTAGTCTACGGACTCTGTGATTGTATGCAAAAGTACTTCTCACCCGCACTAGTGCAATGTGGATAACAAACGTTCAAAATGTTTATACACTCTGTGTACCTATACATGTATTTAATACGTCAAGAAAGAGTGAAAAGATGTGGGGGTTTTTTTTAAATACAAAATTATTTAACATTTGTTCTCATGGGTCTGATTACCGGAAAGATTGCAGTTGCATAAAGATTTGTAGCATTTAAAAATAGGATGTTTAATAAATTAAATAAACACATTTGAAATGAATATCACACTGTTTAAAATCATTACCCTTACTGGAAAAAAAATAAAATACATTTTTTTTTAGAATTTTACACCAGCAGAAACCAAACAAAAAATGCTAATTTAGAATTAAACACCAGCAGAAAACATATTTAAAACACAGACACTACAAGCTGTAAATTCTATAACTACCTGGGACAACCAAACAGGTTCTTGAAAAAAATGACTAATATTTATATAAATGTATATAAGCAAGGCATCTTAAAAAACAAAACAAAAAAACGATACCGTTCTTGAGGTTCTCACATGACTTAAACATCTAAGCACCTTTGCTTTAAAAATAATGTAACAAAGACAGAAAAGAGATAATTTTAAAAATATCATAATAATGCTAATATAATAAAACATTTAATGAATGCAGTTTAGCATAACAGAAATCTGTTGGCGAATCTGGTGGACACTTGCAAAATGTTCTCTAAGCAGCTTCGGTCAATAGGCCTTATTCAGACATAGCACAAGACTTTGATATTTCTCCCTTTCTAGCTCCCAAGAATGGTGAGTCTGTATATACATTTTAGCATTAGAAATAATTCTTCTTTTCAAATCCGGTTCGTTCATCAGTCTTTTGGACAACTGGACAAACTCCTGAAAAAGAAGAACATATATCAGTAAAAAGAGGAATAAAGGCACTCTATGCGGATGATTTATGTGCAATTATGGTATAAAACATGGACAGTTCACTGTATCCTTTCACCAATCAATCTCAGCTATGTATTGATTAAAAAGGACTTGTCTAATAGCTGTACTGCCTAAACTGAACAAAAAACTGAATTGCAGAACTAATTTTGTAAAAAAAATGTGCCCAGAAAAAACATGGCACATCTTAGAAGCTGTAAAATGTGTGTGTTAACCATTACATTGTTTTTGTAAGCACTAATACTTTTAAGATAGGATGTTGCTGTGATAGCTCAGTTGAGAAATGCTCCAAATGTATATGTAAGGAGTGCTTCATCATGAAAAAATGGCAACATATGTGATGCTGCACCTTACACAGTAGTAACAAAAGAACATAAACAGGTCTTTATGGAACATCCAGTAAAACAGCTGGCATCAAAAGAATCTTGACTTTTCACATATATAATTAATTCCATGTGCATTATGTTTGTTTATTTTTATTAAATAATTCACAGAGTAGAGTCACTAAACTTTATATACTACGTAGTCAAAGGAACCACACCAAAATTCTGATCAATTTGATCAATCTAGCATCTCAGATTGATCGATCAACTGCTCCAGTTTGTCCACCGTCGCATCTCTCTCTTTTTGTGTATTGTATGCTCTACTTAAAGGGACACTACAGTCACCAGAACAACTACAGCTTATTGTATTTTTTCAGGTGAGTAGCATCATTCCCTTCAGGCTTTTCAAAGAAAATGCAGTGTTTACATTACAGCATATGAATAACTCCACTGGCCACTCATCAGATGGCTAATAGAGGTGCGTCCTGGGGCAGTGCTGCCATTCAGTGCCTCCACCCTCAGCATGCAGACACTGAACCTTCCTCAAAGAGATCCACTGGTTCAATACATCTCTATGAGGTGCTGATTGGCCAGGGCTGTGTTTGATTTATGCTGGCTCTGCTCCTGATCTGCCTCCTTGATAGTCTCAGCCAATCCTATGGGAAAGAATTGTGATTGGCTTACAGAATCACTTATGATGATGTCAGCAGACAGCAAGCAGTTCAGACGCAGAGGCCGCAGCTGCAGACTTGAATACAAGTAGCATTGTCCTATATTTAGGGGGCAAAGGAGAGCCATGGGGGGCTAGATGGTGTTTTTTTAACACTATAGGGTCAGGAATACATATTTGTGTTCCTGATCTATAGTGATTGTGAAGGACCGCCTGCCACCCCGGCCGGGTACCTCCATCAATCGATGCTCCTAGTGCTCACCGAGGACTCCAAGCACTCCACCAGACACCATCAGCACTGTAGCCCCTTAGCTGTCCAAGGTCCATGGTGGGAGTCGCCGTCCTCCACCCACCCTGGACCTAAGACCAGGATCCAGCTTCCAGTGGGTGAACCTCTCCTACTCCAGAGAGTGTAGCAGGAACAGTTCTTATAAGAGCTAGTGATTAGAACCCAGGGGAGGATAATGAGTATAGCAATCCCCAGAGTGAATATAGCTGCCCCCTCCACACACGAGATGAGGCTCTATGTTGAGGGTGAAGAGGAACTGATTTTCATGGTGCCACACTTGGCCTTTTTTTTTTTATTTATTCTTTATTTTTGTCTTGACATATCAGGCGTTACATCCACATTGGTCGGCTTACACAGGTGCCGAGATTTCACATATACTTCAATTTCTTGTTACATACATGTGGCTCTGCATTGGTAGTCTAGGTACATAGATACAGTGTTTTTACGAATGCAAGCGTTATACCCTGAGGGTGCTCGCCTGTTGCCAAGGTTTTATTTACAACAATAACAGTAACCTTCAGCACCGGTCCCCTTCGGAAGGGTGAGGCCAGTGCCTAGTAGTGAAGTTCTGTCCGGATTTAGTGGTGTACCACGTTTTCTGTTCTTATTTAACAGTTTATATTTTCTGAGGTCAGTGCCCACTGGGCCAGCAAGGTTGGTTGACCTTTTGGCTTTGGCGTGGCGCTTGGTCTTACTGCCTGTTTCCTACCCCTTGGGGATTTTTGGCATTTGCTGCCTCGGGATTCCATTTTGTGTTGTGGGTATTAGTCCCGTCCGGGTCCTCCACCCATGTCCTGGGTAGGTGTTTAGCTTTGTCGAGCCCGTGTGATGTGTCTGCCCATTGGTTTCCAGTTTTATTCTCTACCGTGTTATGTTGTTATGTATTACCTGGTGTGAGTGGCTCTATGGGTGCTGGTCTCCTAGGGCCCTACCTTAATGTGATTCTTCCGGGTATGTGGTACAGGGAATGGGGGGGGTGGGGGAAGAGGTGGGGTAGAGGCGCTGTAAGTGCAGGGAGGGTGGGGGGAGGCGTCTCTTGTCTAATGTATTCTAAATCTAAATAACTTGTCAAATATCCCCATTTTTTAATTGCAAAGTACTGTGAAATATGTTGGCGCTATATAAATGATAATTAGTATTTCTCTTAAATCACATTATACGCACTACGTCTCTGTTCCATCTCCCTGTGTCTTTCTCTTATCCTCCTAATTCACCTTTTTCCTCTCCCCTTTCTTGTTTAGATTCTTCTCTACATCCTAACAGTATTTGTAATGGTTTGTGAATTTTTATATTAAATCACCTTTATAAAAAACTAAAAGAGTATATGATTATGAGCAGATAACACTTTGAGTCTCCATGATGGGCAAGCGCTTCATATAAAATCATTACAGAGAATAAATAAATGAAAGAGTAAAGCTTGTGGGCAACTATTGCTGCCACATGGATGAAAAAAAGCCGATTACTTTAAATAACCAGGATTGTTTGGGACAATTTAAAGTGGAAGTTCATATAGCAACAGTGTGCACAATTTAATGACAAATTGCAGGCAATTAATTCAGGTGAGGTGTCAAAGGCAACATTGCTGCTGTGTCAAAATTAGAGTTGCTAGCCTGTTCAACATATTAACACATCAATAGAATACAAAACACTATCCCATTTAAATTGAGATCGTGTTAAAGAAATCCTGTCATCTTTAAATGCACCAATAGAGCATAATAATTGCTCAAATGCTTTTAAAGGTTCTATAAATAATATAATTTCAACGTGACTTGCAACTTTTTTATCTAGGCTGTTTAACATTTATCCTTTACAAATGCCTAAACCTACTAAACTGCATGAGGGGTGGGAGTAGGGAACATTCAATGGTTTTATTTATATGCTTTCCAGTTTCCACTTTCAACATAATTCTGTTAAGGCAGATATGTTGAAAATGTTATAATTGCCTCAAAAACAGTTTAATCCTTCTAAATATAATTGTGCTGTACCTCAAATACATGTAAATGCTCTAATGACTTAATCTGCCATATAACAAATGTATTTTGCAGAGCTTCAATTACAAGCAGTTAAGAGAGATACTTCAGTCTGTGAATGTGTAATCTTACACATTGTTACAATAGCCACAGCAGAGAGTGGCACAAAAACATACATATATACATATATATATTTATTTGTGTTCCGGGTAACATTGATTATGATATGAAGTAAGATTGTTGTTAGCAAACCTGTGATAGGAAAAAAATCAGTTGATGTGTGCCGAAACCGACGTATGCTGTAGGCCAGTAAATAAAGTGGGCCTACACTAGAAGAGTATAGTGAATAAAGGGAGTGGGGCAGCAGCTCGTCAATCCAATCATGGTCGGGTAGGGAAGGGGGATGTCCCTTTTAAAGGTCCATAAGACCCTCCCACAACTTCAGGCCAAGCCTTCCAATTTGTGTTCGGTTCAACATTGATTATGATATGAAGTAAGATTGTTGTTCGCAAACCTGTGATAGGAAAAAGTCGGTTGAGGTGTGCCGAAACCGACGTATGCTGTAGGCTAGTAAATAAAGTGGGAAAAAGGGAATACATATCATGCTCAAAATACTTTGAATAAATAACAAAATACAACGTAAATACATTAAGATGACATTTTAACGAATGTCCTTCGTATTTCCTGTACTGGTTGGGGTATGTATGTTGCATATGCTGATGACTTCCAGCTACCTAGAAATTTAATGACATGGACTGGAACGTCCTGGCTCGATGCCGTAGATGCAACCCCTATCCTGAATGATTGTCCTGAATAATGGCTGGGGTTCATACTGAGCCTTGTTAACAATAACCGCACGTATAACATGAACTTAGAGATTGTGAGGATAGCCCTGTGAAGTGACAGTAGCGGAACAGATGCGATATTTGGTATGGTGAGGAGGTAGGATTCTAAAACCTTCACCGGGCACCATATATTATTTGTAGGTTAGTATGGAATGTGGATGGGTTGACCCAGTTGACTCGTTTTGGGCACATATAGAGTCAGTATGTAATGATCTTGATGTTTAATTAGGTAGGAGCTTTGAAGGCAACCTTGTGCATTGTGTTGGCCACTGATGGTGAATTCTCGTGGCCTCAGGAAGCCGTAAAAGGCCAGGTACATAGCAGCTTTAATGACAGAGTTAGTGAGGGGCTTGAAAGGGGATGAATCTAGCAAATCAGACATATTTTTGATACCCTTAAGTATAGTCTGATTGGATAGGATGGCGTTGTTGGAAAGTAGATAAACATGTGATGTTGGATGCCAGTCAGGCGTAACTTGATGGTATAGTGAGATAGCCTAAACTGAAGGTGGCAAAAAAAAAAAAAATTATCTGCCAGACACGTGAGCCCTACGAGGGCTAAGGAAATTGTTGTAAACATGTAAGTGACAAACAATATATACCTTGCAAACAATTGAGGGGTAACACGATCGACTTAGGCTAAACCAGGTGGCATAAATATGAAAACACCAGCATATGACGTCAACCATAACCTAATAGCATTGAGGCATATAGTAAAATAATAATAATGCAGAAACTCTGGAAAGTAAGTGAATCGTGAACTCGTCACATATATAAGCCCATGTTGCCTGAAAATAATGGGATAGCCCGGAGACAGATAAGTGCTGTACATAGATAAGTGATTAATATAGCGAGGGACAAGTTGATAAAACCAACTTATATAAGGGAAATAATAGAGTTGAAAGGGTTGAGAACCAGAAAAGTATCAATACTGAAGAAAACAAAAAAATAGCATAGGTAACTAGTATCAGTATCAACAAGATTATACAATGAAAAGTATCTACAAGGACCATAATGGTGGATAATTCAAGCTAACAAGTGTATGAGAAGGAAACCAACAACCCCTAATTAGTATAACTAAACCAAGTTAGTTTAGATTTGTGAACCATATGTGTAGGCCCAAGTTGGGCTTGACATGATTGATTTAGTCAATAGCGACACTTAGCCATGTAGGGGGCCAAGACATATAATAGAAGTCGATATGTTCCAGTAAGGGACCTAATACCGGAAGCTGAAGAAGGCATCACTGTGAAGCTATGTATTAATGAAATGCTGAATATGACAGTAGTGCAATTCGCCCTGAAAGAACAAACATACAGTTAGGCCCGCCATGGCGACTTCTATGACTACGAGGTAGGGCCGGCTCAACTTAAAGATGACATGTTTAAGTATAATAATGATGTCACAATATGTCTGATAGGTGTGGCACCACAACTTATCTATATCCTAATTCACTTATTAGTTTAAAAACTTTCAAACAGAAAGTCGGATAGCATGACAGAAAGTCAATATCCCGTTGGATATCGGAACATACAGACGCAGGTGCTCAATATTGAATTGTGTTATGATCATATGCGTGCGGAGGACCCTGCGAAGGTCAATGTCCTGTTGACGGCATGATTCGACAATGTGTTTCTAGTCTTTCCAGTTTCATTTATTTACTCCTTAGAGGACACGAGTGCTGAGAACATTGCGTGGAGGTTGGTGTTGCTCGAGCAACTCATGCCAACTCCAGCATCAGCATTGTCTGTTTGGTACGCATGAGTCTGAACAGTTCCACAAAGGAACTTTGCGTCTGTGTAGCTCAGCCATAATACGAGGAATCATCCATGACCTGATAGATCCGGATAGGGGTCACCTTTTCGTGTAGGTGCAGTGGACCAGATTGGAGTACTGGGGATTAACATGTCATCACCTTCTTACAGGGATCTGAAACATACTGCAATATATTAATAATTAGCTTGGATCAGAATCGTTTTACTGGCTGGCTAGCTAGTGCCAAGTGGCAAAGCAATTCACTAGGTTGGTGACAGGTGAGGCTCTGCTAGTTGCCAAATGGCTTGAGTTCGTGTAGGTCTGTAAGGTATGGTTGTAAGCTGTAACTGAAATCTGCAGTATCCCCTAAAGGAGGCAGAGGCCTATGACCTACAGAAAGAACCGTAACTGACAAATGGGTGCGAGGTCTGAAGAGCAAATGATGTCCCGAATTGATAACCTGTAAAAAAAATATGATTTGATAAGACATAAGGAAATGAATGTTAGCAAGACCTCGTGAGTACCACCGTACCCCCCATGTACAGGACCCATGGTGTCCCGGAAAGCCACAGTACCAAATGTCCACAGACAGGAACTGTAGTGTTGAACCATGCAATCATATTTAGGGAAATCTCAAAATATGATTAGACATGACACATAAATGTTTGTAAGCAAAACTGTAGACTGTGCAGAAATGCATATGTAAATATAGACAGTGTGGCCCAAGGCGTATCGTCTATCGTAACTCATCTAATATGCCACATCAAAAGTTAATACCTGTTTGTGGCATTATGATAAATATTACCGCTACATAACTGTAAGATAGTGATATCCATATACTAAATGTACTACCCAGAACCTAAAACAAGACATTATATTCTTAATCTAAAATCTATAAATGTTTTCAATGAAATGCCGAATTAGCCTGTGGCAGGTTGCCCATTACAGGGCATATGAACACACGTTGTAAAGGCATAGTGATGCCAGGAGTAGGAAATATGTGTATCCCGAGTTTCAGTGTGGTTGTGCAGGCTGTGTTGAGATTAATGCGGGTGAAGGTAGGATGTGAATCGGAGAATGGTTCTGGAGTTTGTGTATGTAGCTAAGACCTGTTGGTGATGAGATGGTAGAGAACCAGATAATTACGAATAATCATCTAGTTTATGAAAAGGTGAAAAGAACAGAAACTGTATAAAAACACATATGCACTGAGCCCAATAAAACGAGCTGTTGGAAGACAGAATCAAAATGGGGAACAGAGGCCTCTAGCATGCCACAGTGGCTGAACAGGCTAGAGGCTGTGATGGCCGTACATAATTCATTGGAAAAGACAGGAGATATAAGACAGACATAAAAAGACTTACACCTGGAATGCTTAGGAGGATGATAAATACTTCTGCATACACAGCTGGCATAGAAAATTAGGGTTGAAAGCGACAGGAAATGCTAGAATAATACTAGAATATCTCAGTAATATTAGCATCAGATATAAAACTTCATTGCTTAGACTGAACATGACTGAATGATGTTCCTAATGCATGTATACCGTACAAATAAAGTCTGGGTGGTGTTAGAAAGTGAGGGAATGCAAAAGCAGCAGACAAGAGAACTGCAGGTTTAGCTAGCTGTTTTAGATTATACCCATAATTATGAAAATTGCATAACTAAATGCATGCAAGCTGTACTTTGGGGCACATCTACTAAACAGTGAATTACCGAACAATGTTGGCCTAATGAGTACCTGAATACCCAGAGGGCAGACAAACATTAAAATGTAGAGTGACTTACTAAAATGCATGATAGTTTTATGAATTTGAGGTTATTTAGTAAGAAGATTTAGGATATTTAGAAGATATTCCCCTTTACAGAAAATAAGGAATTTTACATTTATGTGTACAGAGAATGTATATACAAGTTTATATTTTATTTCCATTACTACATGTATAGGCCCAAGTGTGGGCCTGACATAAATTTAGACAGTGAGTTTCAACACCTAGCCATATAAGTGCATGAATACCCAGGACAGACAAAGAAAACTTTAACATGTAGAGCGAAACATTAAATTGCAGGGTGACTAACTAAAATGCATATGATAAAAGTCGATATGGCCTAGTGTGGGCCAAATACTGTAAGCAGAATGAGGCATTGCTGCAAAATACCATAAGCAGAATGAGGCATCGCTGCAAAATACCATAAGCAGAATGAGGCATCGCTGCCAAATACAGTAAGCAGAATGAGGCATCGCTGCTAAATACAGTAAGACCTGAACATTTACAGGGTTATACACTGAACTATTTTCCCAAATTAAATCCAAATGAAAAAAAAACTAGCATAAAGTAGCTGATCTGAAAAAAATTCTTCAACACCGTTATAGTCACAACTGGCTATTTTTCCCATTGTGCCATTCAGATTTAATTTGCCTATATGTGTAGTTTGGTGTCTCACCCTCTGATCACTCCTATAGTGTGAGGTGAGGGTGTGGCATGTATTGGCTGGGTGTAATGTTTGTTGGGTGTGATGTGTGTGCAGGCTGTGTATAATGCATGTAGTGTGTGCGGTGTATGCTCGCTGTATGTAATGTCGCTCTATGAATGAACTGAGCGCTTTACCGCTTTACTGATAGCTCAGCTCGCTGTCTATGCCCGCCTCCCTTCTACAGCAACCCTCCTAAGCCAAAAGTTTGTATGCAAACACTATATATAGAGAAATCTCTATATATAGTGTTTGTATACAAACACACACATTTTAAATAAATATTGTTAAACATACACACACACACGCTATTTCTATCCATTGTGATCCTGTATTGCAATTAGCATGGCCCTCTAGGGTATAAAACACGTGCAGTCTTTTGGTTTTAATATCAACCCAGGCAATTTATTGAAAATTCACTCAAGAGACAGCAGCAGTACAAAAGAAGCAATAATATAACAATTCCCTGCAAATTAAATCCTAGCTCGTCTGAGCTCTTACTGACTTTTAGATCCCTATCTATCAAGGGTTAAACTTAACAGAACACAGGTTCTACCAACCTTATTTTCTGTCTCTTTTCTGCACTCCTGTGCTCAGTCACCTTGGCTGCCAACTTTCTGTACTCCTGTGCTCAGTCACCTTGACTGTAAATTTTCTGTACTCCGGTGCAGTCACCTTGACTGTAAACTTTCTGCCCTCCAGTGCTCCAAGCCAACCTGCTGTTTCCAACCTCCAAAGGAGAAATCAACAATCCCCCTTACCTGCCTAGCAGGGAGGGGTTTATTCCCACTGCCACAGCTCATTAATTGCAGCTGAGCAATGGGTTAGAGACAGCAGGCATTCCTGGCCTTGATCTTATGTCTTACAGTTGCTTGTAAACTGAGGAGTGAAGCACCGGCCCGCCCTACTCTCCAAATGCTCCATAAATGTCATATGCTTCTCTAGAAATTTAGGGGAAATATAGACTCATTCACAGATCACACCATGCACTTATCAGCTATTTCCCCTGTACTAATTCTCTACTTTCACCTCACCCTATCCTCATATCCTTAGTGGTCTAGCAAGGGTCCTTGATTCCTCCTAGTTTAGCAGGGCTCTTTGATCCCTGGTGGTCTAGTGTGGGAGTGTGAGGTTTGCACCTGTAATAGGTACAGACCTCAGTAATCACTCTTTTGTGGCCCTAGCACTGAGTGAGTCAGACGTGCATGCTGGGAATCATGGCGGCTACGCTATGACTCACTATGAAGCGCCAAACTGCGAGGTAAGGATTACGGAGTTCTGCTCCTGCAGGAAGTGCAAACATCACTCTCCCTGCCCTGGATCTATCCTCTTAGGTAAAGCACTACACCACTTTGACATTAAAAAATACTGACATAACCAGACCGCCAGGGAGGTTAAGATGCATTTGGTGCTAAAATGGTTCTTTTGAGAAAAAGGTCAATAACATTTATGTAAGCTTACCTCAAAAGATTGCATTTTGCTGTTATGTCATACTCTTTAAAAAAATATAGCATTGCAATGGGCAATGACAAAGCCATGATGTTAAAGGTAAAAGTTATTCTTTAATATCTATGGCAACCAATACTGAATGTTATAAACAAGGCCAAATTTCTGAGGACATTATTTGATAGATACAAAAAAGCACATAAGAAACGTGCACAGTAAAGTCATGACTGGATGATTACATTGTAAACCTGACTAGCTTTGTGAATGAAGGACAGTTCTGTTCACTGCTTTATCTTTACTCAATTGGCTTTGTGCTTATTGCTAATGAGGTGTCTAGAATACATTAGAAAGCATTTATAGAACCAAAAGAGCTAATAATGGATCAAGGATAACCACACTCTCCCGCAAATCCAAACTACTATTTCACACATTTAACTCTTCTTCGCCCTGCTGTTCCTCCTCCACCTACTAACTTGACCACCTCAGACTTTGCAACTCACTTCACTGACAAGATCTCTACAATCAGAGAAGAGATCTCTAATCTGTCTTCTTCCCCTTACAATACTTCCCCTAACTTCACTCCCTCTGCTGTTCTATGTTCATTCGCACCCGCTACATTGGAAGAGGTTTCTGCTCTGCTCCAGTCCTCCCGCCCCACCACCTGCTCCCTAGATCCAATTCCCTCGCATCTCATCCGTATTCTGTCTTCTTCTCTTTCTCCACCTCTCACTAAAATTCTCAATCTCTCTCTCTCTCTCCTCTGGTATATTTACATTGCCCTTCAAAACATGCAACTGTAACCCCAATTCTAAAGAAGCCCAATCTTGACCCTAACTCCCCATCCAACTATTGTCCCATCTCGCTACTGCCTTTTGCATCCAAGATCCTTGAAAGAATTGTGTATGCGAGATTGACAGACTTCTTCAAGTCCAACTCTCTCCTAGACCCACTTCAGTCTGGTTTCCGCGCTAAGCACTCTGTGGAAACGGCACTGACCAAGGTATCCAATGATCTACTCGCTGCAAAATCTCGTGGTCACTACTCTATCCTAATTCTCCTTGACCTGTCTGCGGCTTTTGACACTGTTAATCATCAACAGCTTCTTCTCATCCTCCGCAATATCGGTCTAAAAGATATTGCTCTCTCCTGGTGCTCCTACCTCTCCCAGTGCTCTTTCAGTGTTTCTTTCTCTGGCTCTGCTTCTTCTCCCCAACTCCTCTCTGTTGGTGTCCCCCAAGGTTCAGTCCTTGGTCATCTACTGTTCTCCATCTATACTGCCTCCCTTGGTAAACTCATTAGCTCCTTTGGCTTCCAATATCATTTCTATGCAGATGACACGCAAACCTACCTGTCCTCTCCCCGTACCTGTTGACTAGTGTCTCTGACTGCTATTTCTAACTGCATGGCTGCCCACTTCCTTAAACTAAACTTGACCAAAACTGAAATTCTGGTCTTTCCTCCCTCAAGTGTTGTTACTCCTGTGTCTGTCTCCCTCCAAGTCAACGGTGCTACCATCAGCTCCACCATGCAGGCTCGCTGCCTAGGTGTTCTCTTTGACTCTGACCTCTCTTTCAAACCTCATGTTCACACTATCGCCAAATCCTGCCATTTCCATCTCAAAAATATTGCGCGCATCCGCCCCTACTTAACGCAAGATGTGACTAAGGTGTTGGTCCATTCCACTGTCCTTTCTCACCTTGACTACTGTAATTCGTTTCTCAGTGGTCTTACGTTCTCCCAACTTGCGCCGTTACAGTCCATAATGAATGCGGCAGCAAGGCTCATCTTCCTGTCCACCCGCACCTCCCATGCCTCACCCTTCTGTCAGTCCCTACATTGACTTCCTATAAAATATAGAGCTCAATTTAAAATTCTGGTTCTTGCTTTCAAATCGCTACATAATGCTGCTCCCACCTATCTATCCTCCCTTATCCACAAGTATGTCCTGTCTAGGCCCTTATGATCTGCTGAAGACTTACGTCTATCTTCTGTCCGTACTCCCACCTCTGATGCTCGCCTTCAAGATTTCTCGAGGGCTGCACCGTTCCTGTGGAACTCGCTTCCCTCCTCCGTTAGATGCTCACCCAGTCTCCGCTCCTTCAAAAAATCGTTAAAAACCTACTTCTTCATAAAAGCGTATCAACTAAACTGTTAATAGCTCCTGACTGATTCCTCTTCTGCAACTGTCACTAGTCTAATACTATCCTTACCTTTTTGTGTCATTTTACCCCACTCCCTCTAGCATGTAAGCTCATTGAGCAGGGCCCTCAACCCCTCTGTTCCTGTGTGTCCAACTTGTCTGGTTACAACTACATGTCTGTTCGTCCACCCATTGTAAAGCGCTGTGGAATTTGATGGCGCTATATAAATAACATAATAATAATAATAATAATAATAATAATAATGGAATATGGGGAAATAAGCTTTATCACTCAACAAGGAATGTTCCTCATTGATAAAAGGTTAGAAAGTAAAACATTTTTTACAAAAATTACTTACAAATGTACCTGCTTTTTATGCTCAGAAAGCTAATATTTCACATGTACATGAAATTTTAACACTAGTACTACAAATTTTCTCTTTATAAATCACACCATTGCAAATGTTCCTCTGAGGGTTCCAGCATGTGCAATTCCAGTAGACTAGCTGCAAAGTTGCACAGTCATTTTAATGGTGCATGCCTTTGCAACCTGCTTTTTTGTCTCCTGATGCTTGAAAGTATACAGCTTTCTAGCGTATTGAAAAGAGAAAATAACAGATTCTTTATACTGTGTGGCCAACATACCAAATAAAAGGGAAAGTAACAGACATATTATATTCAGCTGTTTATGGGGGTAAAAAAAAAAAAGTAGTGTAAAATAGACCTGGATTAATTATCAGTCAAACTGGATTTCATCCAAAATTCGTCCAAATTTCCGAATCTAGTAGTTCAGAATCCGGCAGCACACACAATTGCAGTAAAGTTTTCTGAATGAATTGAGCAGAAAATTTTCAGATCCATTTGTTTTCACGGGGATAGCAAATTAGAACTTCTCTATTAATCAATTGAAACAGTATCATTAGGAAAAGGGCTTCCTCTTACTTTTGCTCTTTCAGCTGTTTAGTAGATAGCTTCCTAAATTGGTATTCCTCTGTGGGATTGCCATAAGTAATAGTACCAAATTAGGTACTTAAAATGAAAGTGAGGGATTCTACTAGGCAACTAAAAAGGCACATTCAAGAAAATGGTACCCTTAATGGAAATGTATTTTAGAAACAGGTTTTTATGCTGTTGTGCAGGATATGAAAAGTGCTGCCCTTTGAGACATTGCTAGATTTAATTATTGTTTCTTTGGAAAAATGGGTGAGAGCTGGGTGGGGACAAGAGGCCCACCCCCCATATTATTTAGGGCCACTACCCATCATCAATGGGTGGGGGCTAATGGGACATTGTGTCTCCCCTGTTTTTTTTTTTTTTTTTTTTTAATAGCCCCTGGAGATCTGGAGGGGGACATAGGTCCCCTCTGTTTATTTTAGAAGTCCCCACTTGCAGGGCATGGGGGGACACTATGTCCCAGTTAATTTATTAGGTGTCCCATTGAGGCATGAGGGTTCTATGCCAGGTCCCTTTAACTGGATTAGCGACTGGACATGACAGGTGTTTAGTAGACATGCCCCTACTTGTGGCACGGTGGGTAGGATAAGAAAGGAGGATGTAATCTCCATTATTTATATTTCTTTACTTAGTATTAATAATGATGTTTGAAAGACCAAAATTATGAAAAGCAAGGTTTTTTTGTGATTTTGTTCTTCCAGCTTCTTAGTAGATAGTATACATGTGTATGATGAAAAAATGGGTACAGCTGAACAATCCCAATTATTAACAACACAGTGTAAATCGCCACAGTATTGTAAAGTTACAGGCTTTAATATTGCACTCACAGAATATGAAGCATAAAATCGCTTGAAAGGTGCCTCCTCTGATGGCTGTGGGGTGTTAGCAGGACCTCTTCCCTTCTGTAGAACACTAAATTCAGGAACCGAAGGAGTCAGGGATCCAGGTAAGTACAAAACGGTTTATTATAAACAACTGGTAAAACGAATATCCATCTTTTCTTCGTATACACATATCTTTGTCTAACTGGAAAGCTACCCTGGGAAGCTGTTCATTTGCAAGAGAAGTTGTTTTAATTTTTTTAATTTATTTTTTTTATTGTCTTTCACCTGGCACAATTTTGGGTGTTAACTGGTGTTGTTTTTTTTGTCTTAGTAGATAGCACCCTAATCCTAAAGTAATTGTCAAATAAAAGATATACTAAACTACCCAAAAATATGGCAAACCCATAAGGGTACCGATTTAGGGAGTTATCTGCATAACTGCTGCAAGATGCAGCCACAGCCAGCTGCACGGTTTAGAATTTAAAATTTTTCCAAATGAAATTCCAAAACAAAAATAATGGCCACATTTTGTCCAGAAAATGAATGAGCAATCAGAGGAAATTTGGTTCACATGAAACAACATTTTAGAGGTGCCCAAGTCTATTAATAATAGCTAGAAATCTAACTTGATTTAGACAGGTGCAAAGATATGTAGCATATCTCCTAATGCCTCACTTTCTTAGAGAACTTCTTAATCATAGCAGAGGACAATACAAATGTAAAAACCCTTACAATCATACAGCGCTGTTTTTAGCACAAGGCAAGCAAAGCATTTACAATGAGAAGCACTTATCAGGGAGGCAGAAAAAAAAACACATTAGGGACACCCGAGGCGGTAGACCATGTCTATTGCAGGTAGGTCACGAGGGAGCACTGATTTGTGTGCTTCTTTTGCTTTGCTCCCTCATTTGATGCCATGAGTTGGAATATGATATCAGTCCAGCCCCGGCATCACTAAGCAGGGCACAAGGAAGCAAAGCAAGAAGATTACCACTCCCTCACTGCCATCATTGTGCAACCACCTACCAACCCAACAGCAGCCCAGCAGACAAGCAGCCGGCACAGCACACTAGCAGGCAGCCCAGGGAAGAGCCCCACTGCACCCCAGGGTACTAATCCACTCCTGCTCTCCAAAAGGTAGGGAGGCTGGGTGGAGTTAAAGTAAAGTAAAAAAATAATAAATTTTGAGTGTGTAACAACATGTGTGTGAGTGTTTCAGTTTCAGTGTGTGTCTGTCAGTGAGGGTGTATGTCTATCAGTGAATGCGTCTGTCAGTGTATGTGTGCCTGTGAGTGAATGTATGTGTCTGTCAGAGGGTGTCAAATCTGTGGGTATGTATGTGTCTATAAGTGTGTGTATGTCCGTGTATGTGAATCTGAGAGTGTGTGAATGTCAGTGTATCTGTCAGTGAATGTGCCTGTCCGTGTGTGTCTGTGAATGTATGTGTTTCAGTATGTGTGTGTCTGTCAGTAAGTATCTGTGAGTGAATGTTTGTGTCTGTCTTTCTGAGTGTGTCAAATAAATGAAGATATGTGTGTCAGAGTGTATATGTGTCAGTGAATGTGTATCTAAGATTGTGTGCCTGTCAGTGTTTACATCAGTAAAAGTGTGTGTTGATTAAACAGTGTGTGTGCCAAATGCCATTGACTGGGTATCTTTCAGTAAGTGTATGCCAGTGCATGTATCAGTGAGGGCATGTGTCCGTGCGTGCGGGTCTTAAACAGGAAGATGTGTGGCCATGACAGGAAGGGGTGGGGCAAATTTAAATCAGAGTAATGCAAGAGTTTAGACATGATTCAGGCAGCACAAAACAAAAATACACCACTGCAATCATACACTATTGCAAAGCAGCCTATATTACCAAGTCAACTAGGATCTCTGTAACATTCCAGTTGATTTAAAGTACAGTCGGGTGGGTCAACTGTAGTCAAAGGGTAAAAATAAAGGTACCCTAGTTGAAAGAAAACTATCCCACCTATTGGCTCAGGTCAATCAACAGTCCTCACAAACCTAGTTCTTAGTGACAACTAACTGTGTTTAGTGATAAAGTACATGTCCCAAAGTAAATACGACAAAAAAAAAACCAAAAACAACACGGCATGGTCTGTTGCACGTTTAGATGCTAAAGGATATCCCTTTATCAAGGAAGTGAAAAGCCGCCTTGCCTATTAGTATTTACAATTTCAAGAAACAAAAACACAAAAAAACTCCACGCTTTTAAATCAACATTAGAAGAAAAAAATAAAAGTATGATGTAAAACAGTTCTACATGAAACATTCTTCATTTTAAAGGGTTACTCGCAATTATATTCCTCTTTGGAACAAACTGAACACACTGCTGTAGTAAGGGCTCATTTTGCCTTCTACCAGTACAAAGTTCTAAGAATGAACAAAGTTATTTATGTAGCAGATAATGTTATTTTTTATTTTGCTATATGGCTTCAGTTTAGGTTTTAATGATCGCCACCACTTTTATTCATTAAACAATGGGTTACCAACTATCTGAAACAGTGTCCAAATAATATACACTACAACCAACATCAAAGCAAAATTAATGACAAACAATTAAAACCTTAACTGGGCTCTGACAGTTAATACAAATAAAGCCATTCAATCATGAATCTAAGAAAAACACTTGAAAGGAAATGAACTGCATACACAATACACTGAAAACATCCTTGGGGATCTGTAAAAAATATAAAATGTCTGTAATGTGGCCCTAATAAAAACAACAACCCTCTCCAAAACCCCCCCCCCCCAAAAAAAAAACAACTAATTTGAAGCTCCAGGTATAATTTTTTTTTCTTTTTTAAATGATGAGATGGGGAATTGAAATGATTAAAGGGACACTATAGTCACCTGAACAACTTTAGCTTAATGAAGCAGTTTTGGAGTATAGAACATGCCCCTGCAGACTCACTGCTCAATCCTCTGCCATTTAGGAGTTAAATCACTTTGTTTATGAACCCAAGTCACACCTCCCTGCATGTGACTTGCACAGCCTTCCATAAACACTTCCTGTAAAGAGAGCCCTATTTAGGCTTTCTTTATTGCAAGTTCTGTTTAATTAAGATTTTCTTATCCCCTGCTATGTTAATAGCTTGCTAGACCCTGCAAGAGCCTCCTGTATGTGATTAAAGTTCAATTTAGAGATTGAGATACAATTATTTAAGGTAAATTACATCTGTTTGAAAGTGAAACCAGTTTTTTTTTCATGCAGGCTCTGTCAATCATAGCCAGGGGAGGTGTGGCTAGGGCTGCATAAACAGAAACAAAGTGATTTAACTCCTAAATGATAGTGAATTGAGCAGTGAAATCTATACACTAAAACGGCTTTATTTAGCTAAAGTAATTTAGGTGACTATAGTGTTCCTTTAATGAGAGTCTGGTTATGTCTAAAAGGCTTCATGTGTGTTTTCCACCAATTAAAGTGTTTATAACATTTTTAAAAACAGTAATGTGACGTGTAATATTTTGGGAATTAGTCTGGCCTTTTTAATAGGTGTAAAGGTAGAGGCAAACATGGCATCTTTAAATGACTTTCTCTTTGCCACGTGGATATAAATAAGAAAACAATGTAACAGTCATTATGTGAACATCTAGTAGTTTAAGAAACTTAATTTAATTAAATTTTTAATAGACCTGTACAACAGCAGCAAAGTGTAAAACCCAGAGAAATGAAGCAATACATTTACAGAATTGTCTGCTGGGATATGGTGCTGTAGTAGGGCATAGGAGCAGTGGTGTGTATGAGTGGTGCAATATGTGAGGGGTGCAGTGTGTGTGTGTGGGTCGTGTAGTATGTGAATGTGCAGGGTGTGTGGGGAAATGTGTGTATGGGGGGGCAGTGTGTGTGGTGCAATGTGTGCATAGGGGACTGTGAATGTGTGTGTGAATGTGTATGGTGTGTATGTACAGGGGGCTGTGTGTGTATGGGTGGGCAGTGTATATGTGTGGGCAGTGTGGGTATGGGGGGAGTGTGTGCGTGTGTGGGGGCAGTGCATGTGAGTGTGTGTGTGGGGTGAGTATGTTGGGGCAGTGTGTGTGGGGGGGCAGCGTGTTTGTGTTTGGGGCAGTGTGTGAATGTGTGGTGAGGAGGGGCTTGAGTTCACTCTTGTGAGATCTGGAGCATTGCAGTGGTAACGACCGCAACGCTCCATGCTCGCGAGAGAAGGACCCGGAGGGGCTGCAGGTTGAGCTCCCTGGTCCTCTCTCCCTCCCTGCCGGCTGCCATCTCTGATCTCCCCTCTTGTCCTTGAAGGCACATTACAGGGCTGGCACTTTGACAGTGCCAGCCCTGCATTAGCCGGCAGGGGAGAGCCTGGGGGGGCAATTGCCCCATTGCCCTGCCCTCTCCCTGGATCCGCCAGTGAACTTGTGTAGGTGTGATTTACAGGCCCCCTGGACAAATAGAAGAGTTAGATAATCTACTAGTTAAGGAAATAGCTAAAATGATATTGAAGGGGGAAGTTATCATCATGGGTGACTTTAATCTACCGGATGTGAACTGGAAAACCAAAATAGCTGCTTGTGCCAGGAGCGCACATATTCTAAACGCCCTACTGGTATTGTCTCTAAAACAAGTCATTGATGAGCCAACTCGTAAGGAGGCAATACTAGATTTACTGTTAACAAATGGAGATTTAGTATCAGATATATGTCTGTAGCAGAAAGTTCAGGATCTAGTGATCACCAGTCAGTGTGGTTTATATAAGAAAAGTGACTGAGTCACACCACACAAAAACAAGTTTTCGATTTTCGAAAAACAGACTTTTTAAAAATAAGAATATGTGTAAAGGAGTCCTTATCAGACTGGAGCAGTTTAAATGAAGTCCAGGAGAAATTGGATCATTTAAAAGTTGCACTACTGAAAGCAACAGAAAATTCCATTAGGCTTGTCAGTAAAAGCAGAAAAAATGAGAAACCACTGTGGTACTCCGCAGAAGTGGCCAAAATAATAAAAAACAAAAAGTTAGCATTAAGTAATTATAAAAAAGTGAGAAAGACAGGCAGATCTATAAGACTAGGCAAAAAGAGGCAAGTTATAAGAGCCTCCAAAGCACACAGAAGAGAGCATAGCAGATTCAGTAAAAAAAAAAAGGGGGATACAATTTTTTTTAGATACATAAATGAAAAAAAGGAAAGTAAAACAAGGATTTGTTAAAAACAAAAGAATGACTGTATGTAGAAGAGGATAAAAGTCTAAATGACTGCCTCAATTAATATTTTTGTTCAGTATTTACAATTGAAAATTAAGCTGAAAGTTAGGAAAAAGGACAAATGAGTCATTTGTTAAATGTGAGTTTACAGGGGAAGAGGTTTTATTTCAACTGTCAAAAGTAAAGACAAATAAGTCGATAGGGCTTGATGGGATACATCCAAAGTTATTCAAAGAACTTAGTGGTGTACTACCAAAACCATTTACATATTTATTTAACCAATCAATGCTAATGGGAGTAGTCCCAGAAAACTGGAAATTAGCAAATGTTGTATCCATTCACAAGAAAGGTAGTGGGGAAAGTGATGGAAAAGGATAGGATTTTTGAATGTCAAGATCAGAAATCACATGGGTTTACTTCTTATTGATTTTTTTGATTGGGTAAATAAAATAATAGATCAGGGTGGTGCAGTAGACATTGCTTAACTAGATTTCAGTAAGGCTCTTTAAAAACTGTTGTACATAGAAGGCTTATCAATAAACTACAATCTTTAAGTTTGGATTCCAATATTGTTGAATGGGCTAGGCAGTAGCTGAATGACCGGCAACGAAGTAAGGTCTAGTCACATGTGGGGTATCTCAGGGATCTGTACTTGGACCCATTCTCTTTAATATTTTTATTAGTGATATTGCAGAAGGTCTTGATGGTAAGGTATGTCTTTTTGCTGATGATACTAAGATATGTAACAGGGTTAATGTTCCAGGAGGGATAAGCCAAATGGCACATTATTTAGGTAAATTAAAAAAAAATGGTCAGAGCTGTGGCAACTGACATTTAATGTGGATAAAAGCAAGATAGTGCAAACATAGGGTTGCCCCAGAACAGAAAGCAATATGCAGCAAAATAGATGTGAATAACAGAGGTGAAATGCAATAATGCTCACACAAACTAATTACATGTATGCCACTACGACTATGTACAGAGATGAGGCTCACACCATTCTGCTACAGGAAACCGGAGGTTTACAGGAACACAGCAAATACACATACAATTATGTTGCAAAAGAGCCCACAGATCTTTCTGAGCTAAACGGCAATAAGGCTCAAAGTAATATGTTGCATAACAAGTGGCTCCTGCGTTGGATGTAAATAAAGTTTACAGTAACATGCCACACAACATGAATCACTCATGGAAGTGCATTACAATTAAATTACACAGTAATACAATGTCTAACAGAAGTGGCTCATGGAACTAACAAGAGTAATTTTGACAGCAAAGTGGCTCACAGAGATGAAGGGCAGTAAAGTAACTGTAATGTGCAGTAAAATCTGAGTACTTCACAGAGCTGAATGCTGTAAAGTCACTGTAATGTTTGGAATATCAGAAATTGCTTAATAAAAGGAATGTTGGTAAAGTTACAATAATAGTAAAATAGTGGAGCACTTCACAATCTCTTCAATCTATATTTAACAAAGTATCAACAAAGTGAATCCTTTGTGAAGCAATCGTTTCAATAATATAGAAAATATTACAGTGCATATGATAGATCATAGAAAGTGCAAAAGTGATCATATTACCACAAAACAACATATCTATTATAAATACAGCATGACATATCTGTATACAATTCACAATACATATTCTTTAATAAACACTCGTACAAATATTAGAAAACAGTAACCTTGTTACTACAGTAATAAGGTGCAAAAGCCTTGAGTGATGTTTGTTGGTTTTATTAAGAGCATTAAGCAGCTTACATGGCAATTAAGTGTACAGCAATGTGCTATATACACTCATGAGCCACAAAGTAAAAACCATTGACAGTTGAAGTGAATACAATTGATTATATCATTACAAAAGCAAATGTCAAAAGGATGGAAAAATTATGCAGCAAGTGAAGTCAGTCCTTGAAATTCCTGTATTGAAAGCAGGGAAAATGTGCAAGCAGAGTGACTTTGACAAGGGCCAAATAGTGATGGCTAGACAACTAGATCAGAACATCTCCAAAACAGAAAGTCTTGTGAAGTGCTTTTGGTACTTAGTAGTTTAACCCTTCTGGTCTGATCACACAGAAGATACACAGTAGTTCAAATGGCTGAAAAAAAACATAATGCTGGTAATGATAGAAAAGTGTAAGAACACACAGTGCATCAAATTATATGTATCGGGCTGCATAGCTGCAGACAGGTCAGAGTACCCACGATGAACCCTGTCCACTGCTGAAAGTGCCTTCACAGGGGACATGAGCGTAAGAACTGAACAATGGAAGGAGGTCTGATGAATAAAAGGTTTTAATTTTTTTAGAACTGGTGGATAGCCGTGTGTGTGTCATTTACTTGCAGGCAAAATGGCAGCAGGATTCACTATGGGAAGAAGGTATGTCGGCAGAGGCAGTGTTATAGTTGGGGCAATGTTCTGTTGGGAACTTTGGGTCCTGGCATTCATATGGATGTTACTTTTACATATACCACATATCTAGAGATTGTTGCAGACCACATACACCTCTTGATGGAAATGCTGTTCACTGTTGGCACTGGCCTCTTTCAGCAGGATAAGGAACCTTGCCAAATTGCAAAGACTGTTAGGTATGGTTTGAGTAAAATGACAAACCCTGGAAATGACAAACCAATAGAAAACCAGGAGTTAAAACAAACAAGGGGTTTAAACTAACAAGGTAATTGTTTTACTGTTCTGTATTTGGGGAAAAGAGTGTTAGCAAGATTGGTGGTTTGACTCAATGCACATCTTGTTGCATGTATGCATGCCTGGATGTACCCGTCCAGGTTTCATATCTCTGTGACAATTGTGTGCGAGTGGCTTTTCCGGAAGCTCAGATTGGAGATCTCGAGAAGCAAATTGCAACATTGAGGGAGATCGACAATAATGCCGGGCCGTTCGTGGGTTTCCCCGTGCCTTCTGAAGCCCTGGAGTTCTTAGCGGTGTTCGGCTAGTCGAGTGTCCGTTTTCAGATCCAGACACTCGACGACCAAACACCGCTGTTCGCGGATTTAAAATGGCGGCCGCCACGTGTTCGGCTGCCGAAATGGCAGCAGTTTGTGCGTACAAGGGAATGAAAAGCAATCAGAGGGGGAAATTATATCCATTATACACATCAGGGTTGTCCGGTGCATTTGGTACTTTGTTCGTATGGTGAATTTTAGTCGTTCACATGTAAGCTGATATTCCCATACCGAACAAAGTATGTCCATACCTAGTTACTTAGAGTTTTGTGTACTCCAGGCACAGGAAAATCTCTGCAGGGCCAACGATCAATAAAAGAAATAGGACAGCCAAAAAGGGGTTCCGCTACAAAGGGTGATAGAAAGAAGGATAGTCAAACAAGCAAAAGTCAAAACCAGGAATAATTAAGCAAAGTACAACGCGCTATTGGGACTAAAACGAACCACAACAGGGCAATGAGTCTAGTTCAGAAGTTCCCTTATATACAGTGTTCTTTAAATTGTAGCCACACCCCCAAAACGTTCGAATTCGAACATTTTGGCAGGTAGTGATGTCACAGCGCACATGCCGCGTCACAAAAAGGGGCGAAGCTATCACGGCCGGCGCGAATCACTGGAAACAGTGAGAGAATGCCTGGACAGATCACCAGCCTCTTGCAAGAGGACTTCCTGTGCCCACACAAAAGCAACCCTGACAGTCCCCTGGTCCAGCTAGTAAGTGGTCCTGTAGCGGAGGTACACAGTCGGGGTGCCAGGTGATCCGTTACAGTAACTATGTAACAAACAGTTCAAGGTGTTGCTTTGGCCTTCAAATTTCTCAGATCTCAATCTGATTGAGCATCTGTGGGATGTACTGGAACAATAAATTCAATCCATAAAGGCGCCATCAAGGAACATGCAGGACTTAAGGGATCTAATGCAAATGTCTTGGTGCCAAATACGAAAAGACACATTCAGAAGTCTTGTGGGAAAGGGATTTAGGGGTGACGATTTCTGATGACTTAAAGGTAGGCAGACAATGTAATAGAGCAGCAGGAAATGCTAGCAGAATGCTTGGTTGTATAGGGAGAGGTATTAGCAGTAGAAAGAGGGAAGTGCTCATGCCATTGTACAGAACACTGGTGAGACCTCACTTAGAGTACTGGAGGCTGTATCTTCAGAAGGATATTGATACTTTAGAGAGAGTTCAGAGAAGGGCTACTAAACTGGTTCATGGATTGCAGGATAAAACTTACAAGGAAAGGTTAAAGGATCTTAACACGTAGAGCTTGGAGGAAAACAACGAGATGAGGCTATATGATAGAAACATTTAAATACATAAAGGGAATCAACACAGTAAAGGAGGAGACTATATTTAAAAGAAGAAAAACTACCACAACAAGAGGACATAGTCTTAAATTAGATGGGCAAAGGTTTAAAAATAATATCAGGAAGTACCCTACCTGTCCTTATGTATAGCTTTGTTAAGAAACCTGTAGATTAAAAAAAAAATGCATGCTGACCAGGGGAATGCATTACAGCACTCTATAAGGGGGGGGGAGTTAGAGGGCCACTCTAAGTGAAGCGGATCTGAGGTGGGCACGGATCTATACAGATAGGATATTAATTCACAAATTAATTATGTACACGGTCAATGAAAAGGTCCTGGATTCAGCAGAAACCAGGCTCAGAGGTCTCCAAGCTGCCAGCTGCATTATTGTAGTTTTATGCAAAGCTTCCTGAAATGCACTGCCAGAAATAAAAAAAATAAAAAAGTTCTCCCCCATGTATTCGTATCTATCCCCATATAAAGCGAGTGACTAAATGAAAAAGAAAAGAATTGTGGGAGGCTACAGTACTAACATACATTATTTTTTTCAATGAAAAGAAATCAGCAGCAAAGTGGTTAAAAGATGAAAGCCACAGAAAATAAATGATTAGAAAGAGGTAAACACTTCATTTGTCTTGTAAAACAATGTACATATAGTTGAGTAATACATTGTGGAAACAATGCAAATATGCTTTTCTTAGTAGTATCTAGTGAGGAAATAGGTGCTAAGGCATTATTAATATTATGCTTTCTAAACTGTAACAGATGGTGGTGCATCTCATGCTACAGGCCATTTTCGAATACACAAGGATGATCAATGGATCAGTCATTCTAAACACTGTCATATCATTTGTATCAGTCCCCAACAGCTTGACAACATATTACAAAGACACTAAATGCTGATATATAAGACCTTTAATACAAGTAAAAAGTGTTATTTATGGAGCATTAACAAGCCTTCAGCACTACACAATGGGAAAACAAAACACAGCAAATAAACGGAGACTGAAAAGGAAAAACAAGAAATAAACAGGTGAGGAGGGCCCCAATCAAAATTCTAATCTATTATATTTAACTTTTTCTAATGGAAATATGTTTATCTTTGAGGCTCTTAAAGGAGCACTCCACGCCCATAGAGCACTACAGCTTGCTGAATATAACCTACATTGAGTCCCTATAAAATCCCCATTTATAAAAGTATCAATTTCATTGTAAAAATAAGCACTTTTAGAATTCAAAATAGGAATGCCCCCTCAACTGTCAATCAAACAGCTGGGGAGATTCACTTTCTACTTCCATTAGTTCCACTGAGCTAACTGAAGCAGCAGACACGCTCGAATAGAGCACGTCTGCTTTGCAATATTGTCCGGAAGAACTACCCTGAGAGGCGATCACCGGGTGACCGCCAGGAGGGGAAACGCTGTATGATAATGATGGACATGTACATATGTCTTGCTTACAATAAATTCAATGGTTTATATGTTATAACTGATAATTATAATGCAGGAAAGTTATCATGTATACCTCTAGTTTCTGCATGCAAAATACCATATGATTCTATCTCTTCCAGCTTGAATATGAAGCCAATTTTGTTGGGTCCCACACAATTTCTTATTTACTGTTCTTGGAATTTTTCATTGGATTATTTTGTTCTTCATGTTCTTTGGGATCGCAAGAAAGAGGAAGTGATTTACTGGATACCACCTATTAAGCTGTGGAAATGGATGTTGATTGGCTGTTCCTGTAGCTAGGAGTTAACACCTCTTATGTTATCCACTTGTTGTTATACTGATTTAAAATTTTATTTTCTTCTTTGCTGCTGAGAGAAATAAAGGAACAGTGCAGCATAATACTCGTCTCTGTGTCATTAATAAATTATTAAAATCGTGAGTTTGCATCATGTTAAAAGTAAATCTAGGATTTAAAGGACACAGCAAATTGAAGAGTGTGGAAGTGAACTTTGACTATAGCGTCAAAAGAGATACTTTCATGCTGTAAGAAGTTTAGTGGGGTTCAAATGGGAAGGGTTTTAAGACTTTTCTAGGGCTGCACCATTCCTGTGGAACTCCCTTCCCTTTTACGTTAGATGCTCACCCGGTCTCCACTCCTTCAAGTTGGGCAACTATAGGCCAGTAAGCCTTACTTCAGTAGTGGGGAAAGTGATGGAAACCATGTAAAAGGATAGGATTGTTGAACATCTAAAATCACATGGATTTTAAGATCAGTGACAACATGAGTTTACTTCAGGGAAGATCAAGCCAAACTAATCCTATGTATTTTTTTTGATTGTGTAACTAAAATAATAGATCAGAGGGGTGCAGTAGACATTGCATACCTAGATTTCAGTAAGGCTCTTGACACATAGAAGGCTTATCAATAAACTGCAATCTTTAAGTTTGGATTCCAATATTGTTGAATGGGTAAGGCAGTGGCTGAGTGACAGGCAACAGAGGGTTGTTGTCAACAGAGTATATTCAAAGCAAGGTCTTGTCACCTGTGGGGTACCTCTGGATCTGTACTTGGACCCATTCTCTTTAATATTTTTTATTAGTGATATTGCAGAAGGTCTTGATGGTAAGGTATGTCTTTTTGCTGATGATACTAAGATATGTAACAGGGTTGATGTTCCAGAAGGAAGAAGACAAATGGCAAAGGGTTTAGGTAAACTAGAAAAATGGCCAGAGTTGTGGCAACTGACATTTAATGTGGATAAGTGCAAGATAATGCATCTTGGACGTAAAAACAGAAGGGCAGAGTACACAATATTTGAGGAAAGAGATTTAGGGGTAATTATTTCAGATGACGTAAAGGTAGGCAGACAATGTAATAGAGCAGCAAGAAAATGCTAGCAGACTGCTAAACACTATATATATATATATCTCCAGAAGGATATTGATACTTTAGAGAGAGTTCAGAGAAGGGCTATTAAACTGATTCATGGATTGCAGGATAAAACTTACAAGGAAAGGTTAAAATATCTTAACATGTATAACTTGGAGGAAAGACGAGACGGGGCTATTTGAAAGAAACATTTAAATACACAAAGGGAATCAACACAGTCAAGGAGGAGACTATATTTAAAAGAAGAAAAACTACAACAACAAGAGGACATAGTCTTAATTTAGAGGGGCAAAGGTTTAAAAATAATTTCAGGAAGTACTACTTTATTGAGAGGGTAGTGGATGCATGGAATAGACTTCCAGCTGAAGTGGTAGAGGTTAACACAGTAAAGGAGTATAGGCATGCGTGGGATAGGCATAAGGCTATCCTAGCTAAAAGATAAGGCCAGGGACTAATGAAAGTATTTAGAAATTTGGGCAGACTAGATGGGCCGAATGGTTCTTATCTGCCGTCACATTCTATGTTTCAAAAAAATCATTAAAGGGACACTATAGTCACCAGAACAACTACAGCTTAATTTAGTTGTTCAGGTGAGTATAATAGTTCCCTTCAGGCTTTTTTTCATGCAAACCCTGCCGTTTCAGAGAAAAGGCAGCGTTTACATTGCCTCTAGAGACAGCTCCAAGTGGTCACTCCTTATATGGCCACTGGAGGTGCTTCCTGGGTCAGTGCTGCCAAAAAAGCAGCCCTGATGCTCAGCATTCCCACGCTCTGCATGAAGATAGAGATGCATTGATTCAATGCATCTATAGGAAGAGGTCCTGATTGGCCAAAACAGCATTTGGCCCCACCTCGTGCCAATTTTAGACCTGCGCAGAGCTGAAAATAAGGTAAGTTTTAAACTTTTATAGGGTGGCTGGGGAGAGGGGGGGGAGCTATCCACCTAAATGGTGGGTTAAACACTGTAGGGTCAGTAATACATATTTGGTTCCTGACCCTTTAGTGTTCCTTTCACTCTTTTTCACAAGAGCATATCAAACTGTTAATGGCTACAAAAAAACATCACACTAAGTCTTTATTGAATACTATTCTACCAATCTACTTCCCTAATACTTCCCTTACCTACTTTACTCCACTCCTTCTATAATGTAAGCTCATTGAGCAGGGCCCTCAACCCCTCTGTTTCTGTGTATCAAACCTGTCTAGTTACAATTACATGTTTGTTAGTCCACTCATTGTAAAGTGCTACAGAATCTGTTGGCGCTATATAAATATAATAATTATGACTGTCATGACACTCCTTAATTGATTTGCCCTCGTGCAGTACTCACACTCACCACTGTTTCTGTTTGGCACTGTTCCTGATTTCTTTTCATTAAGCACTTCACCTGGTCCTTGTTTAGCACCTATTTAGTTTGGGTTCTCCCCTCACTCCTTGCCAGATCATTGCCTTTTGTTTCCTGTTTCCCTGTTTTCCTGTGCCCTACCTGATACTCGTGGTATCTGCACAATCCTGCCCTTCTTCCAAAAGGACTGTTTCAGTATTTGTTGCCTGCACGATTAGTGCTTATTCTGATTTACTGTATATATTTTATGGCCTTGTCTGTGTGTGTGTGTGTATATATTGTTTTGTTTTCTCCTTTGGTTCCCTGTAAATATATATATTTCTTGATTTAACCTATTCATTTGTGTCTTGGACTTTATTTCTTTGCTATATTGGTTCCCACATTTAAAGTGACAGTGCTGCTCCAAGGCAGTACCCCTTCATGTCATTACAATGACTTAACTATCCTGCATCCTTGTTTATGTTTTAATCATGTAATCAACCATAGCCATACCAATATTTCCAGCCAATTACCCACTTTGGGGCAAATTAAAAGAAAACAAGCTTTTACAACTAAAATAAGACATTGCTGACTCTCAATATAACTAGGTAAACATTAAGCAGTACCCTATCCAACACTTCCGCCATTATGTAATTAAAAATAAGAAAAAAAAATAACTTTTCATAGTAAGTGGCAGTTTTCTGTACTAAATAGTTAAAGCACAGATATCGGCAGCTTACTTCTGTATGCTCGCAGCAGCACATATGTTTAAAACAAGAGAACAGCACCATCACAAGATCTATTTATCTAGCCAAACTGATTTTTGTATTTTAACCCGAAGTATAGAATTATTCTGTTACCTTCTCTGTAACAGCAACACAACTGCTTGATTATTTATGCATGCTAAAAATATCAAGGGCTGCAGGCAGGCACACAATACAGTTTGTTTATTTGTGTTAATGATGTGTAAACTTAATAATGTGGTCAGTCTGTGTATATAAGACGCCTGGCAGTTATTGGAGCATCAGCCGTGGCATTGATTAACCCCCAAAATATATTTTTCACCCAAAATGCTTGTATGGAGTACATATTCTATTTCAGATTACAAAAACAGGTGTTAAGATATTATTTGAACCTGAAATTGATGTAAAAAGGAATATTAAGGTCTGATTACAAGTGATTAACGCCTGTGTGATTAATTGTGCATTAAGGTGTAAACAATCACATCCTGTCAATCTGAGCATTGAATGTTGTTTTGATATACCAAAAAGATAGCCATCTGCTACAGAGCATTGATAGAAGAAAGCTGTATATAAATAACACATTTCTCCTAGGAAATTGCCTTTATTAACATACATGCAAGCCTTTCAAATCCTGTAGACAATGTTATCAGTGTTTTACAGAATCCCAATCCATAAAAGGCTAATAAGTAGTTATTTGTTAATAAATTATTGTGTTGAATGCAATGCATTCATATTATAACCAGATGAGGGCACTAGAGTAGCACACAAAAGTTTTGTTTACTGTGAGTTACAAGTAAATTGATCATTTACAAGTTCACAATAATTTTGATTTTGCTTGCTTTGTTTCTCTCCAGTTTAAATATCTACTATATGTTTTATTTAGATTTGTTTTGCATATAACCTTTCACAATATATAGCTGATATTTATTTCTGAGGTTTATGTAGGTACATGGAAACTGTATTTACAAAATAGGAAAAAAGTATATATGTGTAAAAGAAAAATAAAGTAATTACTGTCCTATGACACGTTGACATGTACTATAATCTCTGACCACATTGTAAGAACTGATTTTGGGGGGGTTAGGGTACTGTTAGAGTGACAAGTCTACATCAACAGAAATGGATTGAAAAAAATAAGGGGATCTTTTGTCTAATTTTGCTTTTGAGAAAAAGCAGATTTGAAAAATGCATACTGGGATTCCAGAATTTTAACAGCTAACTAAACAGTTGCTGAATTGTAGTGCAAATCTTGTGGAAATAACCAAATTAACATTTTTGAGAATAACCAAATTAACATTTTTGAGAATAGCCAAATTGGTTTCAAATGTTTGAGAATAATACAAGACTTTAGACCACTGAACATAAACCCTTAATATGACTTGCTGTACATGACACATAAGCCTTGTTTTACTTTTTAGCATGGTATTTTATATACCAGGGTTAAGCAACCATTCGGCACACTAGATGTTTTGGACTAAATCTCCCATAATCCCTTGCCAGGATTATGGGTGTAAGAGCATTTGGGAGATATAGTCCACAACATCTGGAGTGCCGAAGGTTGCCTACCCCAGTTATATACAATTAAATTATTAAAAGATCACATGGTCAAAGCATTTGGGAAGCACACAGGTTTTGACAAAAGACAAAACTTGGGTGCTTTTGGAAGTCAGAACCATTTGAAGTAGAAAAATAAATGGCAAGTGCAGTTCCTTTTGCACGCAACATGTTTGGTCTAGTTGCATTCTGTAAAGCATCGAGTACATGGATTTATATTTAGATATCTGTATGTTGGTTTCTATTGGCACTGTGAACTTGGTATATTTTCTATAACTTGCAATATTTGCCCTGCAGCTAAACAAGAACCCAACTGCAAAGCATGAATATATAGAGAAGCTCTGCGTATTTATGGATATTGGTTGCAGAGGAGCTTTACACATGTCTTTGGTAGTTTATCTTGGAATCATGAATAGTCCACACCTAGCCTTTCAGTATTCACGTTGACAGCTTTGATCTGCAAGTCTTAAAGTTTTCTGGACTTGCTATTGTTTGGTCCATTCTTCAAGGCAGTATTTTAATCTCAAAGATGAACGGTGGGATTTAACTTCATCAATTTCCTTTAGTTTAGTCCGGAAATAGGTTTCACAACTTATCACTTTACCTGTCTACTTTTAGCAAGAAATGTTAGAATAACTGGAAATAAGAGTGCCCAGGTTTTGTGTCCTCTGGCATCAGCTGAATTCTGTATAATACTGCTAGACACAAACAACTACATATTCTCATAACAGAAATTCAAATAGACACTTGGCCAACCTACGATGACTCAATTTCAGATAAACACTTTGAATGTTTCAAACCGTTTCTAGCATTTTAGGACAGTGCCAAGCTTTAACTTCATCATGCTCTTCCCATACCACAAAGAGTCATTTCAACTAAAGTTATGGTGTCCAGAATTAAATACATGATTTGTATATACAGCTATAAAAAAAATTAGCCTGTTTCCATAAGGCAGCAGAACTCTTACATGATTGTAAATGTCTGATATTAATGTTATCTGTTTTATTACTGAGTCCAACTGCTGCTTTGTCACCCCTACCCCCATGAGGAATTTGACAAATATGAATTTCAATTGAAACTATACTTACTGGGGCAAAATTGAATGTCTGTCACCCTGATTGTACAGTCTTCCTTTACAAATTATTTTAAAAATAAAATAATATTTTGAACATTTACCAACATCTTAAAAGACCACTATAGTGCCAGGAAAACAAACTAATTTTGTGGCGCTGAAGGGTGAGGAAGGGGTTAATCCCTTACCTTTTTTCCAGCGCTGGGACTCTCCTCCCTCTTCTGACGTCCCTGGCTGAATGCGCATGCGCGACAAAGCTGCGCGCGGATTCAGCCAGTCCATAGGAAAGCATTCTCAATGCTGGCGTCTTCTCACTGTGAAAATCACAGTGAGAAGTGCGGAAGCGCCTCTAGCAGCTGTCAATGAGACAGCCACTAGAGGCTGGATTAACCCTAATGTAAACATAGCAGTTTCTCTGAAACTGCTATGTTTACAGCAAAAAGGGTTAAACCTAGCTGGACCTGGCACCCAGACCACTTCATTGAGCTGAAGTAGTCTGGGTGCCTATAGTGGTCCCTTTAAATAGGTCATTAAAGTAAAGTATCAAGAAGACAGGCAAAGGAAATCTTCTAATGAACCTAAATTTTACCTTTAAAAATAGTTAAACCCTTTAAAAAATGTATGGCATTTATATAGCTGGCTTTTATTCCAGTGCATGCCACGGACAGAATTTTGCATTTGATTTCAAAGTTTTCTATTGGCCTGGACACCAGATCAATATCCTTTCAACATTCTCAGGGACTAACCGGTTTTAAAAGAACATTCTCTTCCAAGTGCTCTTGTCTTAGAATCTTTTCCTGATTTAGATTACAACATATCCTGACAATGAATCATAAATTCACAAATATATATATAATGCTATAACAAATAATGTAGTTATAAAGAATGCATTTTCATTTTAAGATGCCTGAGGAGTAAAAAATAAATAAATACATTTTTAAAATGACAGAAATGGTCTATGAAGAAAAAAAAAAAAAATGGAGAAATGGTTCTCTCAACACATGAGAGCTGGTTTTGGAGGAAAACATGCTGCACATAAACTATTTAAAATGTATCTAGATTTATTAAACAAAAATGACAGCTGAAGAATGTTACCCTGCTAAAATAACAGCTGGGTGCCATTTTCCCCTGTGAGATCCAATCCCTCTTTTAATGATCTATTCTGGATTTTTTGCTTTGTTGCACTGTCTTGTCCATCACTTTAACAAGGGAAAGCAAGATTCACGTTTGAACCTTGTAGGATCCCACCAAACACAGGGTAGCTGCCAGGTAATAATAAAAGAAAACAGAATAATAGATCGTTAAAGTGGCTCTGACACCTCAAACTTACCTTTCTCCTATTGTTTAATTTTCTCTTCAATTTACAGAATATGTTCTTCTTTTCTTAATTTCTGATTGGTTTCTTTTTAAAACATAAGACAAAGCTGGGACTACTTTGTCTTCTGGATTTTTCATACACTTGACAAACTTGAGAAGGCATAAGTCAACTTCCACTTCCTTTGTCAAGATAGAAGAACTTGCCTTAAGCTCCACCCTTTGTCAAGCATTTGTCTTATGTTTTAAAAAGAAATATATCAAAAATGAGGAAGAAAAAAAAAAGAGCAGATTCTGAAAAAAGAAGAGAAGAGGAAACAGTTGGAGGAAAAACAAGTTTGAGGTGACAAAACCAATTTATGTATAATATAAAAAAGGGATTCAGGAGCATGCTTAGGAGAAATGGTTAAAGGTTATCACAAGAAGGGAGGAGAATAGGACAATTTGTTTAAAATAAACCTTTCTATCGGTAGAGTATCAAAAGTCTGCATAAACACTAACAGGGGCAGCATATTTATTAAAGAACAATTGGAGTGATTCAAGGACAAAGCAAATCTGGAGGAACAGTTCATAGGAATTCAAAAAGTAAAAAGCAACTGGAGAGGGGGAGATTTCATCCAAAAAATAGGCCAAATAGAAATGAAATGGATATATGAACTAAAAACGATGGTACCAAAAGGCCTTAACAATGACTTTGAAATCTGCCATTTCCTAAAATGACCACCATCTCCATGTTTTAGGTCTATAAATTGAATTAATCTTTTAATTCAATTTTAAATTTTTTATAAAGTGCTAGGATTTTTGTTTTTGATCCAGATCTTAATTTTTTAATTTTAATATTAATATTCCTTTCTCTCTGTGAATTCCAACCCCATTAATACAAAACATGTCTGTGAAATTGCATGAATACTGTCACTTTAATATTTGCAACACTGCTACTTTAAGAGCACAAATCCACTATATTCTCTTTGCACTCTATAACGGGCGGGCGGGCGAGTCCATAGCATCAATGCCTTCGTCTTGCAGGAACTGCTGACACACTGCAGCCACATATGGTGTCTTGCATTAGGAGTAACCCAGGGCCAACCGCACCAGCATATGGTCTCACAAGGGGTCGGAGGATCTCATTTCGGTACCTAATGGCAATCAGGCTACCTAATGTGCGGCCCCCCAAAGAAATGCCACCCCACACCATTACTGACCCTGCCAAACTGGTCATGCTGGAGGATGTTGTAGGCAGCAGAACGTTTAATATTATACCAACTCTAAATAGTTTTTCCTACAAAAATTATACCAACTTTAAATAGTGTTTCTTATAAAAAAAAAATTCTCTTCTAAAAAGATGGCTCCAAAAATTATTCCAATCTGGAGAAACAGTTGCTTCTTTACTGCAGTCACTGCTTGCATTTCATCACTTTGCAAAACAGGGCTATTATGTGGCAATCAAAGTTCTCCAATCAACTGAACATGTCTGTCAGTTTACTATATATTTTCAAGTGAGAATGTTAAGGGGTTTCCCAGCGAATGTTAGCGTTGGACCAATATAATGGAATTATTACCCAATTCTGCTATTTTTCCAGCTTATTCATTTTGTCGTAAAATATTAATTTACACGGCCAATTCCACCAAATTCCTAGTTTAGTGAATAACTAAAAGTGCATACCTTTACAATCCAGAAAACAGATGGGTAACTTTCAGCAATATAAACTATTTATTTTATTCTTCTAGTACTAACAGAAAAGGTTACAATGTTGTTAGGGTTAATATTTTAGTCATGCAACATCTCTGTAAATGAAAGAAATACACTTTCATCCAACTGCAAGAGCACTGGTAGGTAACACTGCAGAAGACAGAATTTCATTTTCACATTACCTGGGGCGTAGAAAAGAGAAGTCCGTTATCTTCATGTTTGATTATTGCAGCATTTCCAGGAATATCCCTTGCCAGCACCGGGACCTCTAAATCCATAGCCTATGTGATACAAAAGGGGGAGAGTGGGTAAAGAAAGAGTTTATTGCAAAACACAGTGCCACAGACTACAATTATTATTATTTTTTTTTAATCTTAAAGTGCACCTGTATGTCACAAAACAGTTGGATGGCCACTTCAATTTCACAGAAGGTTTACAAATTTCATTAATATTATGCACTGGAAAACCACCTGCAAATGCATACATTAAAAGATAATCTCAGAGTTGAGATGCAAAAGGATTTTGCTCACAGCACATCCCAAAGCCAACAAGCTACACCAAACAATGTGTGCTGCAACAAGGGGCATCTGAGTCACATGTTTATATTTAACATTTATAGAAACCAATATGGAGAACAAATATAGAAAATATATAATACACAGGGCTCGAGTCCTGCAGGAACGTGTGCAGGCACTCAGGAGGCGGCAAAAAATGTTGCCCCCGTATACCCTCCGGCGGGCGCCTGTCTCCCGGTCACACTCGGCGAGGGAGCCGAGTTCTCTCTGCTCTGCTCCCTCGCACGCCATTTGCTGATGCCGGGAGCCGAAATACGACGTCATATTCCGTCTCCCGGCATCAGTAGACAGCCCGCGTGGCGAGAGGGAGCAGAGAAGAAAGAACACAGCTCCCTCGCCGCTTCTGACAGGGAGACAGCCGCACTGAAGCCCCACTGGGACAGGTCCACGCCAGCTCTTCAGGTAGAGAGGCTGGGTGAACATTTTTAAATTGAATTTTTTTTTTTTTTTTATAATTTGTATGTTTCTGTGAGTGTGTGTGTGTCTGAGTGTATATTTGTGTGTGTCTGTGTATGTGTGTATGAGTGTATCTGTCTCAGTGTGTGTGTGTATACAAGTGTATATTATTATTATTATTATTTTTTTTTGGGGAGTAGGGGGAAGTAGTAGTTTCTCTGAAACTGCTATGTTTATTTAAAAAAAAAAAAAGGGTTAACCCTAGCTGGACGTGGAACCCAGACCACTTTATTAAGCTGAAGTGGTCTGGGTGCCTATAGTGGTCCTTTAAGTTTTCATAGAAACATAGGTTTATATAGAAAAGTACAGTATAAAAAAAGTTGCATAACTGACACTGGACATCCTCACACTCGTAGCGCTTCAAAGTAAACAAAAGAGTGAATTTATTTTAAGGAGACGTGCATTTGCATATAACCAGTGTTTCAGTCCAAGTACCTTGACATATTAAGAAAGGTTTTTTAATGGGACTGAAATGGTGAATGTATGGCTGTAAAAAACAAATAACATTATCTTGCTGAAGTCCAATGAGTGTGTTCTTCACTTTGGCTGAGCTCATCAAACTTGATGCCATATGAAAGCATTAGGAGGCTATTGTGCTTGTGTAGCAAAAAGCTGCACGGCTATTCAGCATCTCCATGGGGAGTGTTTAGCGCCTCCTTGCAGCCGCAATCTGATACACTGCTCACAAATCCAATACATTGCCCCCTCTTTTTCTATAATGACCATCCTCCCAGCACTCTTTAATACACTGCTCTCCCTCCCCCTATTTAATACACTGCCCCCCTTGCCCAATTTAACACACTGCCCCACCTCCCTCCCCAAATTTAATAAACTGCCCCTCTCCTTCCCCCAGGTTAATACACTGCCCCTCCCCCGTCCCTCAAATTAATACACTTCCTGCCCCCCCCCCCTCCAATTTAAAACACTGGCCCCCTTCCTTCCAGGGAAGGTGGGCCACAAATATGTACATTGTGGGCCGCAAGTTTAACATGCTTGCCCTACAATATCCTAATACTAACCATCACTTGCATATCTAGAAACGGGCCCCGGTGCGAAAATTGTCCTGCACCCCTCCCTCATATGTGTCCCCCCCCCCACACATGCAAACAAACAGATACACATGCAGACACACACATACATATACAGAGTCACACACATACAGACATATACATACAGAGACACATACATACAGACAAACACACACACAGAGAGACACATACATACAGACACACAGACAGAGAACCATTCATACAGACACACATACAAAATGTTTTAGTCACCCTCCTGTTTCCTGCCTTTTAGGTGCAGGAGGGCGACTTTCCCTGGGTCCCAGTGGCTAAGCCTGATGGGAGTCAGAGTTCCCACTCTGACTCCCTCCTCTCCTTCCTCCTCCTGCACGGGCTCTGTGTAAGCTGGGAGGAAGTGACCTGGGCTGTCACTTCCTCCCAGCTCTGATGTATTCTCAGGGGGCCTGGTTGCGCTGTAAAAGCGGCAGAGCGCTGAACGGGCCCCCTGATAAAAACATAGCATCGGGTGGCCCATGCTGTTAGAACCTCTTCAGTTATAACGCGCGGGTCGGGCCGTGTTACCTAGCCGGCGGGCACCACAGGCCGCAGGGCCCCCAGCAGTGACGGGCCCGGTCGCAGCTGTGACCCCTGCGACCGTGGTAGTCCCGCCACTGCTAACCATAACCCCTTAAGAATTACATTATGAATAACTTTAATCTAAAAATACCATGTAATATAAAAGCCACATAACTGCAAAACATCTATTATGGGAACAAAATACCATCTCTGAGTTCTGAAGACATTTATTAACCACCTGATAGATAAATATATTATATATAAAGATACAAGCACATGTGTTACATACTCAGTCATGTGACGCGTAAGTCCCATAGTAAAGCATTGATTCAATACTTACACGTAATTAGTATAATGCTTCACATCAATAAATGGGCAGAATAAAACCTATATAATAAAAACAAACAAAAAAAACCCAAAAACTTTGATACACACACACCAAACTGGTTCCTGATCTTCTAAACAGAGAAATACTATTTTTGAGACCAGGCATCTGACGCCCTACACACTGAATCAATCTGAGACTGCTGAAAAATATTAGAGTTGATCTTAAGGGCTCTCACATTTGTGAGTGTTCCATGCCTCCTCTATGACATTGCAGGAGGGGAATAGGTGAGACGTGCCAGAGG